AAGCGATCTAGTATAGGGAGCAGATAGGTGCTAGTATAACTTCCTTGTAATTTACATCATAGATCGCCGAAAGCGTATAATGTGTCATCACTATGGTAGGGACTGAATAGTCAAATTCCAGATCGGCAAGAAGGGTCTATTGTGCAATTCGCAATTAAATGCACATAAGGGCATCATAAAGTCTATCCGGCCAAAGTTAGAAGTATCTATCTTAAACATTACTAGGAGAACGAACTTAAATAGGACATTGTGGGATAGAACGCCAGCACGACATGCACTTCAAGAGGTTTAGTGGCTTAAGCATTCAGTACCGGCTACTTGGTGTTTTCATGACAAAAGGTAGGCTCAAGCTACTTTCAATAAAATGTTCATCTTGCGCCTTAGACGCAGTTGCATGGAGCCATACATAATCAATACAAAGACAACTACTGAGCTGATCGAAACATATTCCGCATCGAGGATCCTCTACTTAAACTATTCAAAGACTACCCATTTTTTATCTAGTATAGTCCTGGAACGAGAAAAGAATAGCTGTGCGATTCTCAAATCTCGATCATTCCCAAGAGTCATGAGATTAACGATTGAGGGTGGGGGTTTACGATCCAACGATGGTTCAAGTCCAATAGTGGCTCAATTTTCCAGACTTGCTCCTAATGCCCCATCTTAATTCAGTATTTGAAGTGTTGTGAACATCATCTCATGATACAATGCCGTTATGCGTGAATATCAGCTATTTAGCAGCGCCCAAAGTAGTACAGCAGAGCCATGTGTGGGGAGAGAGATGCTCGCATGTACGAAACTGTGAGCTATATATATGTAAATAATTCTCGAGATAGCTTTTATGCTTTATATGCCAATTGATATATATTCATTCAGAGCCCTTCATCGAATAGGGACTATATGAGACGCTGCTGTGTCACTTTCTTGCATGGATCTGGGATGATGACATCGTGTGATCATCTGTACAAGTAATCTCGCTGGATATGAGCTTCTAAAAGCGCATATCTAGTTCCTAGAACACTTATATCATGCTATTAGATTACCGTGAGTACATTTCCTTCCTTGAATATACTTTACCTGCGGAGACTAAAGCTCGGAAAAAAATCCTGTGGGCAGAGCGGATAGAGCATTCAAAGTTTCAATAACTGGCTGAGCCCAACTAAAAAGTACAGAATACTTTACGATTCCACCGATACTTCATAAAGAGCAATATCTGATACAGTAACTGAGAACGGAGCAAACTACCAGCTATTGGTAGTAATTGTCGGCATCTTTGGTATGTGCAATCTCGTACCTAAGTTGTAAACACATAGAAACTTTCGAAACAGTATCGGCTTTCTTGATATAAAAGTGAAATATGATGATTCAAATTCAATTCGATCTTTGGATGTGATATCTGTGTCATTTCACATCTCTCAGGAGCTAACGTCTTTCAAAATGTTAACCAGTACAGTTTCCAAGTTCTCTGACCCTAAGTGTAATATCTCGTTCCATGACAGTCGACTATAATCTCCCGGGTTCCCTACATTCCCAGCGAAAGTTGCCCCCTTTATTAATCCATACACCACTTGGGGTCCAAAGTCGCCGGTATCGAGCCTCTTGTGTAGATCCGTAATCAGAGGCTTCGAATTCACTCTTTCTACGCTCCATTCACCAGTAAGATTTTCCAGAATAGTAAGGATTTGGTTTTGCGTTGTTGTGAAGGAGAGAATGAAGATATCTTGATTCTTCGTCCGTTCAACATTCGCAGGTTCCAGAATACGAACTACGGCTTTGCCGATGGTGGAAAGTGTTGTGCTGGAAAATCGTGCATCTCCATCGTCCCAGATTTGCGCTGTTTTGCGCGTCAAATCGAATCCTAAAAACCCGACCTTCATGCTCTGTTATACATTTTATTAGTAGGTCCCTAATTCCTAAATGAAGCGATCATCATACAAAATCAAAGACTGGACCGTTTATTATCGCACTCCAGCTAAAAGACTCGGACTCCATCTTCTTCAGATACTCGGCTATCTCCACTTTTGGTTTGAAAAGTTTGTTCTTGTCGAGAATAGTCGCATCGGGTGTCCAGCCGCCAAAGTCTGATGGAACAAATCGCTTCACACCAGCAGCTATAGCAGCATCGATGTAAACTTTTTGATCGCTGGCTTGGGCATTTCCTACAACAGATATCACAGCATCTTGGCCTGAGAATGCTGATTTGAGCGAATCGTAATCGAATTTTATCTTGACTGTCTTCACTGTAGGAGGAAATGCCGCAGCCGAATTTTCACGAGACAGCACCGTGATATCAAAGTTGCCGTTGTCAAGGAATGCGTCGAGAATCGATGGACCTAGCTTCCCAGAAGCTCCAATCAATGCGACACGTTTTATCGCGGTCATTCTCTCGATCTAGTAAGGTTGATTAGGCAAATAAAGACAAGACAAAGTGAACTATTCAAGATTCAAGGTCAAAAATGGTGTGGCTCTGTGAGAATAACTGAATCGCCTTATGTAACAGATCTCCTGAATAATTGGTTACCAATATTTGAGATTGTTGTCATTTCAGATTAATTCCTATGTGAAGTAGTCCCTGATTTCGACACGCTAAGGTGGCGGCCCCCTCCTCCCCCCTCCACCACCCCCGCATCT